ATAATTAAAAAAAATAATTTTCAAAACTCCACTGATTCACTTGCAGGTTAATAAATGCAGTAGGCTTTCTCTTATACTAAGGTATGGACAAAGACCAGCATTATAATAGCACAAATGTAGGGCTCTCTAGTTTACTGGCTCTACAAAAGACAGCATCAGCTGAAAACTAACAGTCAAGTAGATAAGTCATAGTACAAACTGGCAGTGAAGCAGATAGGATATAATAACTGATCTCATCGAAACACACAAGTGCAAAACTAACGTACATGAAGTTTCACTGACCTGTTTCCTGCCTTTATGTGGTCAGGTAAACGGAATGCAGAAAACTGTGCAACAGTATATGATGCATAATTTTTAAAAAATTAATATAAAAATCAATAGCTTGTTAACTAGAACTTCTCAGATTTAGAACAGTTTTGCTGTCACAGACTGTAAGCATCTCAGACTCAGAGTTCTCTCAGACTCAGGAGCTGCTTTTAGTGTCCTAAGGGATTCTTTGGTTGGTTTGTTTTTACTGATTACAGGTTCCATTTTGAATTTGGTGTATTACTGATGTAGTCTCAGCCCTCTGTAATAGGATTTTAAATAATTGCCCTGTCCAGAAAATCCCTTATGTGATAGCTCTGCAAAGCTTTATTCTGTTACTTAATTCAGAGAATATGTAAAACATGGTTAGCCAGCAATTTTGTTAGGCCTAAGAGACATCCCGATGCATGCACACGATCATCAGGCATCCCGATGCATACATGATGCATGCATCTCCAGATAACAGCTTTAGCTGTTTAAGGTCAAATTTAAGTCATATTTTAAAAAAAAAAAGTTGCAGATGAAATGGTGACATTTCTGTAGGAGAGAGAAAAAATATGGCATGGTCATCCCTCACGGAATGGCTTTTTATTCTGGAGTGTTGTGGGAGCTCAACTATTTGTGGCACCTTTGAATTATCAGTGGCAAAGAACACTTTCTCCTCTGTATCCAGCCACGTCTTTTTTTCATTTTCTTTTGGTTTTGAACCTCGGCATTTTAATCTCAGAAGAGTTTACGGCAATGAATTCCGGCGCAGCTGCTCACATCAGGTGACGTTAACAAATGGGTAGCACGTTTCTTAGAGCTCTTTGGCAGCTGCGCTGGCTTGGAGGTCCACGTCTGAGCATGGACGCTTGTGTTCCCTCTCTGCAGTTTTTACATAACTGATCACGAAGTGCTTTGGACTGTATATAGAATAGAGCAGAAGTAAATATTAGAGTAAAATGAAGTGGTAAAAAGCAACTATACCTGTTTCACAGAGTGCTTAGTTTGCAGACTTCTATGGGTCTTGCAGCTATATCTATACCTCCTCAAAAGGTACCTCAGGTTGCTTTTCCAAAAATACACAAGCTACAATGCACAGTATCAATTGTTGCAGGAACGTAATCTCTCAGAAAGACAGCTCTTTGTATACAAAAGATCATGCTGCTGGACGAAGAATAACATTTCTAAACTGAACTGGCTGATGTAGTAATTTGAAGAAATAAAGTGAAGAATTGCCAGGACCATCAACAACACAGCTTTACCACACAGCTAAGCTAGTGATTAGCTGTGGCTGGTAGGGCAGACTTTGTGCTCATTCTTTCTTAATCCTGATTATTAAACCCTGCTGCTTCCCCTGGGCCAGCACTGCCACTTGTCTGACCTCATCATGAGTGGTTTCAGGGAGCAACACTGACAGAAAACTAACCATTGAAAAGTCTGGATCAGAAATCTTTCGCTGGAGAGGGAGCAGTTCATGGCTTATCTCTGCTGGTGAAAATCTGATAGAAATCAAGATACTACCTCAACAGAGAGGAAGCTTCTGACTCCCTTTCACTAGAAAACATGCACTACTGGCATACACCAATACTTCTTAGATTTTGACATAATAAAGGGCTGTTTGCCCAGGTCTCTTGACAGTATACTCAATTATTAGAAACTGCACCTGCATTCAAGGACATGCATATTTTGATTTTTTACCCCACAGAGAGCTGTACAAGCCTTGCAAGACACAAGTTCCTGGAATTCATAGATTGATTTCCGGCTCTGTTGACCTACTGCAACATAAAAACATATCTAGACAGACCAAACTTGCAAACATTCTTCATGTCACTTGTTAGGGAACGGAGCTCCTGGGCCCCACCAGCACGTCCAGTGTCTGGTGTGGAAGCTGTGGAGAAAGAGCTGGTGCAGAACGTCTAGTGGCCTGCGCTGCAGCTACCGGAGAGGAGTAACCTCCCTGGTGAGAAGGCATAGAGGGACAGCAGGGCTCCCTCGGTCAGCAGCAACGGAAACCGCCCACAGCTCGAACAAGCTCTTCATTAGTTATTCTCTTCCAAAGCACTTCGAAGTTCAGCTTTTAAAGTTTATGGGGGTTTCTTGTTACTTCATTTTCATGTAACGATTATGAAAAGTGATACAATGCATTTTATATTCTGAATAATCTGTAGCTAACAAAAAAAGATTTTCTTTCTTCTTAAAACATTCTTGTGTTTTTGCAGTTATCCTTTCTATATTTATTTTGATATAATTTGCTATTCAGTTTCCATCTCTCTATCTTTCTGTATTTCAATCTTGTCATTTCAGTTACTGGTGTTATTAAATGTAGGCACCAGTATTCCTACTGTTTTCTAACCCCTCCAAAACATGTTTGCACTTAACACATTCCCCCCCACAATATGCCAGCCTTCCAAAATTCAAACTGTTAGTCTTCAGGGCACGTTCCCAAGCCATTTGTGAGGTTAAAGTTTGCTTTTGACTAAATCGTCCCTCCCTTCATAAATCTTATATAAATGCATTCATGTGAAAAATATCTAAGTAGATTGCAAGAAGTGTGCTATTTCTAATTTTACTTGATAAAGTAATTATGCATTTTAAAGTAAACTAGATGGGGATTTCCCACAGCGTCATGCTAGATATATCTGTTATCTTTCAAAGGCAATGGACACCTACTAATTGATACTGCTAATGAGGAAGATATAATTTATTTACTAAGGAAGAAGCCCTTTCCTCAGGAAAAGAAAATGCATACTTCCTTCACTAAGAAATGTTACCCTAAATATTCCATTTTATAGGAAAAATGATGGATAAGCTGAAACATTAATGAATAGTGTTAATTTTAAACTAGAAATCAGCGATACAGTGTTTCTAGTAGTGTAGATTTATACTCATTTTTCTGTTTTTATAAGAGTATAAAAACAGAACTGGGAACACATAGTAAACTGGGTATGGACTGCTAGTTTTAATTCTGACACAGGTAAAACTTTTAAATTACTAACCAAGTAGTCATTGGACCCTTTCCACTTCTTTCATTATATTGGCATTTATAGAAAAGGTTTCAAAATCTCTAACTGTCAAAAGTATACTGTGGATTTTTCCTACAGTGTTCAGCATTGGTCTAACTCTGTTCTAATGGAAGTCAATGTCACTGACTTAAGCAGAACAGAATTAGGTCAAAACTTACCATTTTGCTGTAGTTGGTAGAAAAAAGGATCATGCAATATCTGTGTGTTAAAAATTAGTTAAAAATTACTTTTTCTGAAGTAGTCACCTTCATTGTAACTCAAACTGAATACCATATTTATTTGAAAATTATTTTTACTTACAGATTATATGCTATATATTTTTTGAAAAATAACAGCATACTTTTTTTTTTAAATAAATAGTGACTGTACCGTCTATAAGCAAAAATTTGAATTCGGCTTCATCTGTGCAACCATCCCTCACATCTTAAAAGCATAAATAATTCAGGTACATAAAGCACGAATTTCGTAGAGCAGATAAAGCAGCTAATGTGCAATTCTACTTTTAAGTATTCCATTTACATAACTATTCTTAAGGAAATAACTGTGTGCTAATAGAGAAAATACCAAGCCTACAGGTTATCTTAACATTTGTTTATGTGGAAAAGATTTAGGGAAAAAAGTCTGCATACGAATCTAAAGTGATATGCTTGTTTTAAAGTGATACATTCTGTCCAGAATCATTTTCACTACTTAATATACTTCCAAAGTAGACTAAGCTACACAACAGTACTTAAGTTAGAAATAAGAGAGCTCATATTGGGATCCATTCCAAGTTGTTTAGAAAAACTATTAAGATATTTTATTGTCAGGTAATGCAAAATAGCTTAATTTAAAACAGAATGAAAAAAATTTATGAAACTAAACCAAATGAGAGAGCTATCAATACTTGAAATAGGAAGTTTTCAGAAAAAGTGAAAATTCTTTGCTTTTTTCTGTTCTCTCATATTTCTCAGGACCCTAACCTTCATAGACACATCACTCCCACGCTGAGAAAGAGACAGTAGGTGCATCCTAACACATCTAACACTAACAAATCCAACTTGGTTTCATGAAAATGGAGCTCCTTCATGTGTTAAAACTGCAAATCATTTATTATTTCTGCCCCTTCTGTCTGCACCAAATGACAAATAGGTTCATGGGTTACCAGCTAAATCTGTTATCTCATAATCAAGAGATGAGAAGTGTGCACAGCCATTTACTGTGACTCTACTAACAGGCTGTAAGCTGAGAGGCTTCTGTAATTTGAATACTTGCAATTGTCTGCCTGTACCTTAAAATACACACACACAGTTAGGGTTCATCTTTGAATTCTGCAAGACCTCATGTAAAACTTATCAGAAGATGATTTAAAAAAAATCAGTAATAAAACTAATGTTAAGAGCCAATAAGGTAATACTGATTCAAGATCTAGGTCTGCATGTAGGAGAATCATACTGGAGCAAAATTTATCCAAAGTGTAACTACTCTAAGATTCACTTCTCCCAGTGAACCTATAATTCTATGTTAATATTTTAAATGTTAGTAATCAAAATAAATTATTTTGTATTGACAGAAAACCTAATGCAAAAATAAAATTCCAGACAATATGCTCCAATTGCAGTCACCTACCAGCTATTTCAAAATTGTGTCCAGTACAGAAAAATAATCTGTATTACAGTTTTGCCCTGGTTTCTATACAAAACTTACCTGTTACAAGCTCTTTTATTTCTGCATCAATAGATTTTCTTAACAGTCGTAAAAGGGCAGGTATCCCACCAACATTCTTCATTGCTATTTTGTTTTCATCAGTAGACTTTCCATAAACGAGGTTTCGCAGTGCACCACAAGCGTTCTTCTGCACTTCCAAGACTCTGTGATCCAAGAGGTCAACTAGATGCTTGATTCCTCCTAGCCGACACACCTACAAAATGGAACGACGGGAACTTCAGCTCCTATTGATTCCATACATTTTGCTATACAGATTTAAAAGCCCCTTAATTTTATAATGATAGTATGTATACCTTATTGTACTCCAAGAAGAAATGTCATTGGCAAATCTTAACTTAACTGTTATGCTGTAGTGAAAAATCCTGTGAACTACTCATATCCTTGCTGAACAGGCTGACGGACATTTCAGTTATTCTCTGTGTTTGTAACGGTTACTGTTAAGGCCGTGTTTGCAAGTAGTAAAATTTTGAAAATAATTTCCTGTACCTCAGAATACCTTTCTAGGGAATACCAGAAATTAAAGTTGCAAAGATTTAAATCTCAACTGTTGTTACTTAGCTAAACCAAAAAAAGTTTGGTCTAAATTATCACATATTCAGTACTACTGGTGTATCTAAAGTTCTTTTTGGAAGGAAGGTTTACTCTGAAGAAATTTCTTAAACAAGAAATCTTGTTTTAAACAAGACAAGTTGTATTTATTTTTCAATATATTTATTTTAATAAATTCCAACACTAATTTTCTGTGTTTTGAAATCTCATTTGCATGTACTGCTTTTCTTGGTTCAAAATCACTTAAAAAATCATAAATGATTACAGTATTTTAGAAGTCTGCTATAACTGTTAGCTCAACTAAAAATTATTTAGAGAGGTATAACTTTTAGTAGTATTACTCTGAAGACTAACATTAATTTTAAATTAAAGATCACCATCCAAGGTTACTAAAATATTTTCTATAAACCACTTTGTTTTAATACAAATCATTGCACTAGGAGATCTATACTTTAATTTGATATTTTAGCACAGTGCAGTAGCTTTTGTGCTGTACAATCCGTAGAATACGGATAACAAAGGTGGTAAATGATTTCTTTAAAAACCCCACACCTACAGCAGTTAAACTGCTGCTGCTCTAACAGGGGAACCCCGGATGGGAACGGAAGAAAGAGGAACACCACCCCGCCTGAATCCTCTGCTCACCAAGGCTGCGGTTCTGGGCCAAACAGCTAGCTGTGATATAAATCACAATATCCTAAGAATTCTCTTTTTCAGGATTAAAAGCACTTTATACCACTTTTGGAGGTATCCTATTCTAATAGGAGCTTTCCTATTCTAACCTGTAGAATAATTCGTTTGGCAAGCCAGAAGGCTATTTCAAATAAATTAACGCATAAAAGCTTTCATGGATTTTTTAGCTGAAGTTGTTCAGTATCTTTTATTGACCATAACACGAGAAGCTGAAAACACTTCTCAGTGAAAACAGTGCTGAGACCTAGTCAAAGCTTTTAAAGTAGTCTTGAAAAACGGAATCTTATCTATTCCGTTCTTGGAAATTGGTATTTGGTATCAAAATGACTGGTATCTTTATATACACCTAAAAAGAGCCAAACCGAAGAAACACCTGAAATGCAAAGTTTCTATCAACTGTGTATATGTTTTTAACTTGTCAAATCAGCTGTTAAAGAGAATAATAGAAATAAAATGAAAGGCTAGTGACTTGAAAATTTTTTAGACCTCTGTTTAAAAGAGTGAGCATATTTTTCCAAAGGAAATCTTAAAGAGAATTTATTCTTAGAATAATGCAGTTTTACTACTGTTAGAATTATATCACATTTGACAACCTACATGAGCCTTTACATTTCAAAATACATCAATTACTAACAAATTGACACGAGGCGTATTTGCACACCTACATATCTTACATTCTTATAAAACATGGGCATACAAAGCCTGGCATTGATCTATCATACGTAGCCACTGTTATGCCAACAGCCACCCAGAACCGGTATTTGAGGGCATTCAGTGGATTTAAATAAAGCTTATAGCTATTTACATGCAAAGATTTCTGTAGCTAGGAAGTTTGCCGTACCATGAAAATTATCTTGAAGATTATTTATTTGATACAGACTACATTGAAAGCACATACTGCAAGATGCTATAAATATTTTTTAAAGGTTTATTCCTTTTTAAGGCAAATAATTCTTATTTCTACATTATTAAATAACTAAAGCAAGAAATAACTATTCGTATTTTTCAGTTATATCCCCTCTTGTATGTCAACATTACAGCACATCAAACATTACATCTACATTACACATTATTCAAGGAAAAACAAATTTAGATAGCTATTCTTTACATGCAAGTGTAATTTATTCTTTCTGTGCAATTTTGCAGGTAATTTAAACAGTAAAGATGGGTTTCTGGCAGATAAGTGGTTTCTTATGCTTACCTCCAGGTTTTAGCAATATAAGCACTTCAGTTCATTTTGCTAGGCTTGTAATACCCTTAATAGCCTAAGAAATTAATCTGTTCTTTATCACAGCAATAAAATAATAAATCTAAGTAATGAATAAAAATATAAAATTAAAAGAGTACTCAATTAGGGCTTTACTGATCTTGGCAATAAAGTAATTGTGATCCTTTCCTATTCCAAATAGTGTCTAGTGCTGGCCTCTGATTGAAAGGGAGGCTACTCTTCATGAATTGCAGCTTCCCTATTGCCACAGATATCATCATGTTTTCAAAACACGCTAACTCCTATCCACCATGGTAACTCAAGGGACAGCTTCTTATTACGATACTGACAGTCACATCATCAGGAAACACTACAAAAAGCCTTGCTCTTCCAAAAGTACAGGGATATTCTTCTCTCCATGAAGCCAGGACAATTGCATTCTTTCTGCCCTAGTATTATAAGAATTTCTAAAATCTGATTAATTCCAGACAAGAAAAATAATGGTGCCAGGATGCGAATCTTTCCTTTTTGAAAAAGAGAAGTTTTCTCTTTTTCAAAATTCCATAAACTCCTAAGCAGGAAGGCAAGCTACATTTGCACTTTCCTCTCAGGCTAATGCAATATATCTAGTCTTCTAAATCCAAAATCATTATTTTTTCTAGGCAAAGTTTTAGGAGCTCGATATCTGATATAATACCTCTATAATATCTGATACCTGAACTGATTTAAAAACATATACGAAAAATTTTGGATACTAAGTAAGATAAATAATTGAGACATCACTGCACATATAACACACAATTCAGCACCACATTTGAGTTCTGCTTAAATTTTGGCCTTTCCGTTTCTTTTAGTTTTGCGTAGTTCTGAAAAAATTAAAACAGACATTCCACAATCTCTACAAAAATCCTGTAATAGAGAAAACTAAAACAGTGATTATCAAAAGCACAGGATCTCAATTAGATGAGCATATGCAGATAAATAATATTCCAAGAATTCCTAAATGAGCAGTCACAAAACAGCAAGGCTTTATAAAACAGCAGACTATCTATAAAATCTGACTACACTCGATAATCATTGCACTACATCTGATTATCTTTGCTATCTTTAATGCAAATCAAAAACATCATCATCCTTTTCCCCAGTCAGCTCTCTCCTAATTGTCAGATCTTGGCCACTTTTAATTTAGTAATCTGATGGAAGACTAACCTGGCAAAACAAAAATCACTCTTCTTCTAGGTCAGCTGGCTGAACTAGGTCGACAGTGGCCCAGTTAGCACCAGACTTGGTGCATACCAGATTTGGGAACAAGCAACCACCAGTGGACCCCGGGGAATCAGAGAGATGAAGGATCAAAGGGAGAAGTGCAACCTCTCCCTTCCAGCAACTGTGGGTTGTTATGCTGGGTTAACAACGTTCTTATAAAAGTTGTATCAATATGCTATTAACATAAATAATATTCATCGTGAAAATAATAGATAAAACACACATGGGATATGAGGGAGTAAGCAAACTCCTTCAGATCAACAGCTTATAGCTGCTCTGTGAAAAGAGCAGCTCCTTAAATTTAGACAACTGCTAGATATTTTAACAATAAGCCGTATTTTCACTCAGATGTACCTTTCCTTCACAATGCACTGAAATAAATGCTGCACTCTGTATATTTCTAGGGTTAGGATTTCTTTTCATTGCTCGACAGCTCACTTATTCCCTATGATGCCTTAAAATACCTTCATCAAAAACAGAGGAAAGCCTTCAAGAATTATTGTTTCTTCAAGAATCACTGCTTTTGTTAGTCTCCAGGCATCAACAGGTTACACATACACACTGACTTCAGTAAACCTGTACTTCTACAGTTCTGCCAGACTATGCAACTTGAATTTCACAAACTTTGCATCTGTTATACAAAGACAGCATCTTATAAGGGTCTGCATGAAGATCTTCATAGACATATGAAGATCTACGTATATAAATGTGCATATATTTACATACACTTACATATACAACATTAACATATATCCAGTACAACCAGAAACATACAAGGGTCCAGGATACTGTGTTACAAGAAAAAGATGAAAACAGAGGCAAAAGGTCTAGTTGTTGTTTTAGTTCCGTATCGTTTCCCCAGAAACAGAACAGGAGTTGGTACCGTACCTCTGTTTTCACTTTGTTATCTCCGAAGCACAGATGTTGAAGGTAGGCAGCTGCGTTCGCCTGAACTGAAGGGAACTGGTGCTGAAGCATGTGAATGACTTCAGGCAGCTCTGGATCTCGCCAGGCAAACTCCCTTCATTAGAGGAACACATTCAAGGGAAGGCATTAGTTATAAACATGCATTTATTTACTAGAGCCCCTTAAGTGTTTTTCAACAATTTTGTTTTTGTTCTGGAGTACCAGGGCTAGGAGGAAAAACAGGTATGTGCGAATAAGTATGAGTCACATCATATTTTAGCCTTCCTGTTGGGAAAGGATGCTTTATATCCTATATTCTTCAGCTAGTTTGGTGTTGATCATACAAACAAATATACATACTAAAATTACACCAGCTGAAACTCGGCAACCTATATACATCTCCCAGCATTTCAATACAGACTGCAAGAGATGCACAGATTTTACCTAGGTCTCACACATTTAACAATTTTGCTCAGGTGCATCTCTTCCACACAGCATTTTTTCCTCAACACTTGAAGCTCTTCCTAGTCTGAAGCCAATTATACTTGAAAAAAAGTTGTGCAGATACTGATCTCTTCATCAGAATCAGATCCAGGAAGTTTGCATAATCTGAGTTGTTCAGGGATTGTAAACTTAATATCATTGTTATTGGACCTGTTTTATTAGACGTAGCCCTTTTATTTATGTAGACAAATCCTGGAAAAGGCATTAAACACATCCATGCCCAATTCATAGGTTTAAAAATATATCCACTAACATTTGTTGGGCCATCTTCTTTTTGTAAAGGAAGTTAAAAAAAAGTAGTATATAAGATTTCCTGTTCTTGAAAACGCAAGCAAGTGTAATGATAGATGTTCCAAGAACAACATTTGGGGAGGTATTCAAAGGCTAACACTCACATGGCCAGCTGGGTCTCCCAGGGATCTCTTCACAGTCACTGAAAAGGGAAAGTTACTTAGGTGCCTGCTCTGAACCACCTGATAACTAGAGGCTTATTTCTCCCTACGGACAACAGCAAGCCCTTAGGGAAAACTTCCTTTCCAATAATAAAGGTATCTTTATGAATGCTCCCTCAGTCATATCGTAGAGGGATGCTTTCAAAGGGCTGGGGCTCAGAAAAAGACACACTAACCTAACCTCAGCAATAGCGTGGTATGAGAACCAGAGACTGAAAGAGATCAAAACAAGACAAAACTATTTCATTGTGAAATCACAACATAAGAAAATATAGCAGTGATGAAAAGTAAGTCAGAATTTCTTAGTTCTTTGCATACCTATTATCAGCAAACAACTTTTACGATAACTTTTTGTAAGGTGTGGCAGAATAGATCAGCAGTAACATGCAGCTAGCAAGCGTTGGAAGTAAGATTATTCTATTAACCTCATTTAGATGAGCACATAAATAGAAGAGTTAAATGAAATTCAGTCTCTCAGTATCTATTAAAATAAGAAATATATTAATTTTCATTAATAAGAAAGATAACAAATTTAAAGAAAATCAGTGCTTTTATTTTCAAGACTGAAGGATAGGGCCAAACTAGAAAATAACTAAACCATATTTGTTACAAGCTTTCTGTAAAAGAGGAAGCCCAAAAGATTTCACTGTAAGACTCTAGTTTGACCAGAGCTATTAGTTATCTTTTTTCAAAGCTGATTTGGTATCCTAATTTTCTGTATGAAAGGCTCCAGAGGCATCACTGGAGTCCACATCCTCCCGTGTGAGCTGTTCTGCTTTCACAGTTGTTTCTAAACTGGCAAAATGTTTGATCTGCTTTTATGACCATGCTGCCTCAATGAATTAGCAAGCTGATGACAGACTGAAATTTCTAGTGATCATATATACTCATACCACAGATAAACAGACAGTACTGTAAAGCTCCTTAAGCTTTGCATGAGCTGGTTTTGATATTCCCATTTTAAAGTATAAGATTTTAGTGAAAAGAGTGTCTATTAAATTATAATGACAATATTACACTTGTCACATGCCCATGTTGTTGTCATCATTTAGATCATCAAACTAAATTAACTATTTTAAAAATACAACCGTGTACCAGCTTCTACAAAATGGTACATTTATATTTTTAAGATTTACCTTGTTTTGAAGTTTAAGTAAGCTGTTCATGAAAAATTTATTCAAACATTTTAAACATGTACTTTCTATTTTTCAAAAGCTGACATTTTCCCCCTCCCACAAAGAGAAAACTTACTACTGTATTACAAATGCCTCTGAAGAATTACTCAGAAAGACTGACAATAATCCACTCTGTTGTCATCAAATTTATCAATATTTCTTGTAATAACTTCTAAATGAAAATAAACATGGAAGAAAACTGCAATAGCATTTCAATGCATACAAGTCGTTCATCCTTACTGTAGCAAAGTAGAACAAATTTATGACTTTAGCCATCCAACAGGATCTTTAAATCCAAATGAGTTACAAATGTTTAAGCAATGTAGAGCTGAAATATGCACACCAAAAGGTGCCATATTTATTCAAGGAACGTATTAAAAATCTTACTATTCTGGCAAATACGTATGGTTATGGAAAGCACAAGGGACTTGCCTGGGGTCTTTCTGAATGCTGTCTATGGACGGCGACCGCGTTGTCCCATCGTCAGCGGGCGCTGCGTGCTGCAGCCTGCCATACCCGGGCTCCGACAGACGATATGGCACTGACCTGTAGGGCTCCGCGTAGGTAGCCGTCGTGTTCAGGGCATAATTATTTCTTTGGTATGTGAGTGTGCTACGCTGACTGGACGATCTTTGCAGGTTTCCGACTCCTAATATAAAATCAGTATTTAAAAAAAATAGGTAATAAATATCTACCGAAGAGATGAAGTAACAGTTAGAAAGTGTAAGCAAAAAGTCATTCTAGAAAAAGGGTAGGATACTCCACGTCCAAAGGCTATCACTAGACGTAAAGGAGCAGTTGCTCCTAAATTTAAAATATCCACAGGAAATAACTCTGGGAAAACAAGGTTAGTTACGGAAGTAGAGGTTTGGTGGAATCAGACTTAAATCCCAATTTGCTTGAGTATTAAAGCAAGAAATGCAGCTTGTGTCTTTAAACAGAAATCAGGCTCTAAAATGTTTCCAAAGTGTTCAACAAAATTCAGTTACCAACAGTAATTTCAATTTGCCAACAGTACTAAAAAGAAAAGGGAAAAATAATTAAACAAAAGTTCCTACAACTAATATTATATTTTCCTTTTTCCAATAACACGCACATTTTTCCTGAACAAAGCTAATAATAAGAGGAAGAACCAGGATTAAAGGTGTTTTCCAAGTATTAAGCTTGAGGCTTCAGAAATACAAACATAAATCTTTCTGTCTCGACAGAGCTGATGTGGCTTTTCCAAGGTAACTGATATCAAGTAACCGAGAAAATAGAGAATTTAAATTTCTAGTTAACTTTCCTCAATGTCACATCCTGACAAACTTAATTTGTTTATTTAGGTTGTAGCAGACAGGACAGGTTGATTGAAGAAGCCCTTGCCTCCTTCAGTATCCAGTACTCTCAGTATTTTCAGTTATGTAAAAAACATTGAAAAGCAATTTTTAAAAGTGTAAAAAATGACACAAGAATTTGATACTTCTCTATAAATATTTCTAGAGAGTTGCTTAATTAAATCACTCTCATATTTGAACAGTTTTTACAAATTATTCCACTACACAACTTTAGTAATCATCCTTAAAAAAATTGCATTGCAAAATATATTTTACGTTTCTCTTTACAGAAAATCAGTTCTAATGCTAACTTTTTGCTTAAGCAGTTCATAATTTGTCAGTAGAGATTATACCAAATATTACAGAAATATTGTAGTTTCACTACATAATCTTCAAATATAGTTTGTACTGTACTAAAAAACACTAACTACACTGCAAAAGATGTGGTAATTTAAGCGTGCAAGCTATCATTTTACTGGACTGACAAATAAAAAATGAACATCTCAATAAGAGAATGACTGAC